TATTTCAACACATCCGATCAGTAATCCATATAACATAGTATCATATCAGGAAATTAAAGACCATTTGTAGCCACTGTATGAATAGCTCCCATCCCTTTTTCCTTATCTGCTGCTCTTGATAGTACTCTTGGAAATGTTTTCCTCCAATTACATGGGCTGCGGCCCTCCCCCTTTGACCGCAGTCGACATTGGTAAAATTTTCCAAAATTAATTCTAAACCATTTTAATGTTTGTTTCCTTGAGCAGCACGACACGTGCCAAAAGTTACAACAGCAACAGACAAAAACAAAGCAGTGGAGAGCGAAGCGAAGCAAAGCAGACCAAAGCTAATCAGAGAGGGAGAGCATAGGCGAATGAAGCTTTCAAAGCACAAAGCGATCGCTCTTTATATTGCTCTCTCGTTTCGGCCCACACAATCCAGAGGGCGATGCCTGACAGGGACAGGGATAGGGACAGACATATGAATTACTTTATTTTGTTTGTTTTTTGTTTCGTTGCTGTCTGGAGAGTAGAGTTATCAACTGGTTTAGGGCAGAATCCCACTCCCCAGGCCAGACCAGACCAGACATCATCATTTATTGTCCAAGTACAAGTAGCGTTGCCAGGCGGCGGCCGACCGACCGCCACTGCGTTATCGGGGCCTTGGTCCCGTTATCAAAGTCTGGTCTCTCTTCCCCTCTCGTTTTTGTTGTCATTCCATTTAAATTCTAGTCGTATTTGGCCACTGCTTGATTTGGATCAGCAAAAAACATATGATTCCCGCGCTGATGTCTGGAGCACACTCTGGTCTGGCAATACTCTCAAAGTTTTTCCCGCTTTAGTCAGTCTGAAGTGTGGCGCAGACTACGGCGCTGCCAACGGTGCCGCCCCGTGCCCCGAGCTCTCAAGTGTCTCATTGATTAGCACCTCTGTTGTGCATACAATACATTCCCAACAAACCAAGAAGCCAAACCAAGAAACATTCATAGCAAATATCAGTATTCAGTATCAAAAGTTTACAAGTTCTCAAAAACAGAGCAAAGTCATCTTCGATTTGATTTTCGAAAATTTTCCGTTACATCATTGGAAGTGCGAGCGAGTGAGAGGTGGGCAGCGCGGCTTTACAACCCACAATTGAGAAGAGGGCGACCGATTATCTCTATCGTCGAACCCCAGATGTCGACGACAACGGAACGACAATCGACAGCGACAACGACAGCGACAGCGACGACAAAGGCAAATGGAAAATTTTATGTTTATTTATAAGAAACAACAACCTACAACAAGCCCAGCAACAGATATCATTTAGTACTTGATTCTATATAATTTTCAACCTATAATCTTTATGCTTCATAGCACTAGCAACCGCCAAATTGGGTGACATTGTATTTTCGGTGGAAAGACTTCCGAATTCCCTTTTATTATTTTTTTCAAAATATTCTGATCAGTTTTTCATTGGTTATCTCCCGTTTTACCTAACATTCAGCACATCCAACATTTCATTGACTTACTTCTCGTGACTATAGCTCTTGTGAATATCTTTTAAGTGACTTGACACGATTCCACACACCACAACTCCGGTTAATTTGCAACCTTCTTAAAAGATTTTGCTGGCCAAAAATTAATCTTTTCCCCTAATTTTTGTGTGGCTTTCATAACTGACAAGCCCCACTCTTAGATGTTGTTCTTGTTGCCTTTAAATTTACTGAAACTTGCACTCAGATACGTCAAAGAACTCTAGACATATCATTTAGGAAACACCATTATCTTTGTGGAAAAATTTCTGCTTTTAATAGGGTATCTTTTCTCAGAGATCTAAAAATAAATATAAGTAAAATACTATCACAATGTTTGTTTGGGGTATAAAAATAAAGACAAAATGCCTAAATGATATGTACAATAATTACTGATTATTATGTATGAATATAATCTTAGACAGGAGTAGTTTTTGGGGTTTATTATACATATGCCCTCAGAGATTCCACATATCCAAACCCTTTTAATCATAGCAGGTATCTACAGACTTGGAGCATTCTACGTTCGCTCTTTGCATCTTTTCTACCAAAAATGGGACTGTAAAACTGTTCAGGCCTGTATCTCGTTGATTTAACTTAGTGAATGATATAGATTTAATTGCTGTTTGCTCTGTTGTGAAATGCTTAGATACGTCACATGCCTCCATCCCCCAAAAATACAGAAAGAAGCACCAGAGATACAGATACTCGCGCACACGTTTTGGTGACAGCTTTTTGTCATCATCTCCGGGGGGAATATTCACTATCTCTCCGTAGAATCTTATCAACCTTTTTGTTACATTTGTACTTGTATTGTATTTCATTTTTTCTTTTTTTTTCAATGTATCTCCTGTACTAAACTGTGTTTTTGTGTGTTTTTTGCAGTCATACAAAAGCGTAGAACACCGGTGTGTCAATTCGCATCGCCGCTGGACGTTGACATACATAGTAATCCTCAAGTAAGTAATAGTCATAGTGACATCTGTGGACAGGTGGAGAGTGGATGTTAGTGTCCACAAAACAAGTTGGGGCATGTGTGCAGAATATCAGGTAATCGATAAGGTAAATGGGAGCAAAAAAAACCATAGTGATTGCAAAGAGAGACAGAAGAGAGAAAAAATGTTGCGACTTGTTTTAGTGCTACTTCCAGTACTGTTATTATCCTTAAGAAGGATTGTTCTATTAGGACTTTTATAAATGTGCGATAACTCCAACTTCAAGTGCCCCAATCGACCGCTTAGGAGGTGTTTCCACGTTTTGCACTGCTCTACTTCATGCACTCTTGAGTCCATTCCTTATCACAATCACCCTTAACAGTTTTACTATAGACTACGGCACAATATTTTTCTGTACCGAAGGGCACTTCCGCATGACGCGTCGAACTACTCCTGTCTTCTTCTATTCATATATTTTAGAGCGGTTTCCGGATCCTACTTTTGCCCCTCTCCTGATAATAATATCCCTAAACACTCGTATGGCTTAAATCGCAATATTTTTCTCGACTAATCATTATTAGTTAGCATCTACTGATTATTTTCTTGATTTCTGTTCAAAGCCACGCCGTTTCCTTTGCGCCACAATATTTATAGAAGTAGAGTAAAAGTCGTACGGGCAAGGTCGCACATACAGAAAGTAGAATAAACCAAAAAAATCCAATAGCAAACGAGGAATTTTGAGTTGCGTCCAGCGAAAGTAGCCAAAACGATAAGTACCCGCTGAGCGAAGATTGTACTCGTACACGTACTTTCGGGGGGTACTTATAATGAATCTCAGCCTATAAATAAAAGTGCCTGCCCCGCCGATAGGTTAACGATAGCTAAAAATACATCCCCAATAGCGTACCGCACTGACACTCTTATCACGTGCTGCTGTAGAGAGGGTCCCGGGGGATGGATGGTGGTAGGATGGTTGACTGTTGCTGACGTTGGGGTCCCGGGTCCCAGCTATATCTCTAACCATATCTCTCTCCCAGTCAATGGCGCACGACAATCGTACGACGATCACGCATCAGTCGAGTGATGTCCTCCTATCCTACCCTCGCTGGGGGTCGTGGTTTTGCGATAACTAAATGAGGAGATCCCGAAAGCAGAAATCACCATCCAAAGTCGTGTGCCTGATCAACGTCAGCATTTAGGGGTATTTATGACTGCGGATGATTGGCTTTTGACTGCTAGGAATTTTCAATTTATGATGGATATTATGCCACAGAAACGATCTATTGCGCTTAAATACTTGAGAGCTATATAAAGCGTCGGATTAACGTGAAATCGAGTATTCTGAAGTTTTGATCGACCGAGGAGCTCTGCTCCATGACGCGGGATAGGCATACAAGTTCAAAGTATACGAAATCTAAGGTGTTTAACAAGAACAAAGGATAATCCTACTGCCTCAACAAAAAAGGTTACGATTGGTTGTTTATCTTTTCTTATAACTATCATAGCATTAACCCTTGTTAGACATCCTTCAGATATACCATGAAAACCAACAGCAGTGTTGATCGAGCATTAACTTCCTCGTAGATCAAGAAAACGAGCAGTGCACGAGTATCAGTTTCTTTGCACAGTGTCCCCTCCATTTGTATAATTAGTAGAGATATTGCAAGAGCACCGCACACAAGCCCCTTACAACTGTGTGTAGTAGTATCTGCTAATTAGCTTATCAACACGAGCGTTTCTCTGTTTCGGTTTGGGTTTCGAGTGGGTTACTGCACTCGAAGGCACTGTGCTCTAGAGAGAGGGGCAAAGCCTCGCCGAACACACCCATTTTATAATAACAATTCCCATTGCTGTGATTTCTCGCTGTCGTTGTGTACCTGATACTCGACGATGTTGAACAACATGCAACCTCCTCCCGTACACCTGCCTCCGGTAGTCTTCCCTGGGGTATGTACTTCTCTCTCTGGGCGCGACTTTACCCTGTACCCCCAGTAAAAGATTTATCTTATCTTTGGTTTACAAGCTGTTTTCATTTGGCCAAGTTAGCGAAGAGTTAATAAAACAACGAAAACGTTCGTCAAGAAAGCTCGGCAGTTGAGAATTTTGTGACTGCTTTATGCTGGGGGCTTATTTTCTGTTTGCTTTCTGACAAAACAAATCAGTTTGCAAAAGTACACCTACCTGGGGAGTAGTCAGAATCAGAATCCGAATTGGAATCGAAATTGTTGGGACAATGTGCAAGGTATGTGGGGATTTATTACTTCCATCTTCCGCTCTCTCTCTCTCGCTGTGTCTCTACCTGCGGTTATCTCTGAGACGCTCGCAGATTAGCTTTAATCATTATTAAGTTTAGTACATACGTATTTGACATTTACTTTTGATTAGAAAATTAACAACACATCTATCTTTCTGTCTGTACCCCAAAAAACACACAAACCCGCACACAGACCGTTGTGCTTGAAGGCAAATACTGGAAACGTCATTCGGCCGTAATCAAAGCTGAATACAGAAAATGGCGCAAGAACTATAGATCGAAGGCAACGGGATGCTTAACCTATGATTCGGTAAGTTCTCAGAATTTGTTGATGGACTTTGTGGAGTTTTCCATTTCCTTGAACTGAACGAGTATGACCATGTACGTGAAGATTGCCGTGAAGAGCTGTAATCAATGGAGTACAAATTGTCCATTAACCTCTGGAATAATATTTTTATTGATGCACGAGTGTACCTTGAACAAAGTGCTCTTATCTAGAGCAAAGAATCCATAGGCTGTGAGAATGGGCTGCTGTCGTAGGTTTTTGAGTAAAAACTTTTCAATCTACGAGTGTATTTAGATAAAAGGAAAAAAGTTTACGGAAGAATGTTCCTTATTGCGCTTTGTTCTTACCATTCTATCCAATCCTGTCCCAGTTCTTGGTACCTTGGCCAATATCTTTGCCGTTTTGTTTGCCTGAAAGAAGAGGAATGGAAAATGTATTAGATTTAATGGACTATTCTATAAGAAAGCCTTTAGTTTTAAGTCTCACTTCCACCGTGATGCCGTTTGTGCGCAACATTAGGAACAATATTATCATCCAGGGTACATCCCAAAAGATGGATGTTAAGGCCATTAGTATGTACTGTTGGGGGCCATATTTGCCCTCCAGCACAGTGCTTATAAGAAAGAATGGACCCGCGGGGGAGAGGAGCAGCACCAGCGCCACAATGGGCAGCATAAGGAGACCGAAGCACTCGTTGAGTTCCCCCTCGCACAACGCCAGAAGCTGCTGTCTGCCACGAAGAGCAGAAATCTGTTGCCTGCCATGGAGTGAAAGAATCTGCTGTCTGCCACAGAAAATAGTTGCCACATCTAAGGAGGCTATTCCTTGGCGCAGCTCCTCGTTGTAGTGCGTCAATCCTGCTGCCATGATCTGCTTGAGGCACACAAAAAACACGAGCAGCAGGCAGAGAACCAGGAAGGCATACGTATAGAGCACAACATTTAATGTGAGGGCAATGGAATCCAGCCCCGCATGTCTATAACCATTGATGTGGTTCCCAAAAATGAGACCCGACAGAGCTCCATAGAGTACGAAGTTGTTGCGGAACTTCCGATCCACACTGCCGGCCAAGCACGTCCGATTAATGGTGAGCAGAGACTGCACCAACTCCATATGCCGATGACGCCTGAGGTAGAGGCACACGTAGAGCAACCACAGGACAACGCAGGAGCATCGAAAGATGACCGCCTCATAGAAGTTTCCCGTGCGATTGTAGACCTTCATACGAAAGCGTTCGGGCTGCAGATGCGCATACGCGAGGGCACCCGTTGTCCCAGAGAGAACTACTACGGTATAGACCTGAGCATAGCGCTCACACTCGGGAGTGGCCTGGAGCAGACACCGTTCCGTTTCGAACTGCCAGCACATCATGCCGAGGAATTTCAGGGCCCGGAGATACAGGCGCAGGTCCCGACACACAGACATTTCGCAACAAACTAAAGTAATCAAGGTAGTGGATATAACATTTCAGTGTGGTCTGTCTCGCCATCAAATGTCAATACCTTTGGATTAATTAATTAGCTAGATATGCGTACTGATTCGAGATTAATGGGTGGGGGAGGCACCTTCTACTCACCTCCCTTTGGACATTTGTAGTACCCATCGCGAGCACCAGCAGGGTCACCCAAGGCATGCTCCAGAATACACAAGTCAAAAACATAAAGGCAAAGCGCCATGGCGTACGAAAGAGGCCCTCGAAAAGCGTCGAAATCAGATAGAAAGGACCCGATGGTGTGGTCACTAGCACATATCCGGTTATGGGGAGCAGCAGGAGACCAAAGCAGTCGTGGATGTCCTCATGGCAGAGTCTTATAATCTGATTGTAATCACGGAAATCCTCATAGAACTCACGGCACTCGCGGGACAGCTGGCGACTTCCCAACAACTTTCGATTGTAGCACCTCAAACTGGAGAGGAGTATCCTTTGAAAGCTGACAAACAGGACCACCAGCTGTCCCATGAGCATGTATGAGAATCCATACTGGAAAAGGTAGATGGGAATGGACGTCGGCCGGACCTGCGCCCGCCAGTAGCCATGGCCATAGTTGATCATGCAGAGCACAAAGAGTGTCAGATGGATGCCGTACAAGGAGGATGACTGCGGATCCCTGAAGGCCCGGTTGAGGCGCAGCATTGTCTCCAAGAGACGAGCATAGCGACAGCGTCTCACGTAGAGCATTGTGTAGATCAGAGCTGTGGTCACGTTGCACGTCCGTATGTTGATCAAAGAATAGCAATTCCCCGTTGCATTGTAATTGACCATGAAAAAGTGTTGTGGCATGTAGGTGCAGTACGTTTGGATATTAAGCAGGATCCACAAGACTCCCCACAGATAGAAACGTGCCACGCGCTCTTCCGAAGGCGTCGAGGAGACAACGCATTTGTCGTAGTCGATGTGGAATCGAAAAACTCCCAGCAACCGAAGGGTTCGCAGGTGAGTCCGCAGATCCCCGAACGAGTGCATCCTCATCGAAGTGTGGCAATCAACTGATGAGCAGAGCCAGGAAAGGACTTTACTGTTTTCATTGGATAACTTACTCCAGGGATTGAGTGAATTGAATGAATAATGAATGTGTGTGGAGGGATGATTGAAGTGCACTCACTCAACCTTGAAAATGGAAGGCGAACCTCTTGGGGAAATGTTTGTTTAGTCATGGGCTGAGTCGATTCATTGCATGTGGATATTATTAAGTAAATTAAGAATTCACCTCTTTGCCCACCAAATCAGTGCGTAATGTCATCAGGAGGGCCACCACAATGGGTAGATTCCACAGGAGTGTGACTGCCAGAGGAATCAACAGATGACGCATCCCCACCAGCCTCGCATCGATCTCAAAGACAATCGTTACCATGAAGAACGGTGCTGCTGGTGCAGAGAACAGCAGGAATGCGATAATTATCGTCAGGACAAGTCCAAAGTCAGAGGTCAAACGTTGCTGGCAGACCCAAAGAAGGCGATTCCGTTGCAGCAAGCGGAGGCGACACAAGGTGGTGGGTAGCGGAGCACGCGAATGTACGGCAGCAGTCAGGTCTCGATTGTAGAGGCGCACAAGGCTGGCCACGATCTGCACCAGGCAAGTGTAGAACGCAATAACCAGCGCGATCAGCATATAGCTGAAGGACAGGAAAAAGAACAGCAGAAACGAGTGCAATGGATCGTTGTTACAGTAAAGCATTATCATCATCTGCAGCAGGCCCGTGAGCAGGACCTGGCTCACGAATAGGATGTACAGTCGAAGGAACTGTCTCGAATGGCAGTTCCCCAAGTCCACTCGATTATGGTAGAGCAACACCGACACCAGCGACAGGAAACTTCGACGTCTTAGGTAAAAATATGCGTAGAACAGGGACACCGTTAGGCAGGTGAGTCCATAGTTGGCCACATAATACACATTCCCCACATTAGTGTAGAGGGGGAGCTCGTACACCCGGGGTTGAACAATGGCATGGCCCAGGGCCAGTAGAGCAATGCATTGCGAGCATACAAGTCCTGCCAGTGCCAGGGTTTCATCAGTCCTCGAGGCATGTGTTCTGTATTCACTGTCGTGGGGCTCATGGGTAATGCAGAGGAGACCGAGGCACTTGAGACTGGACAAATACACGCGCAACTCGACACCGAGGGACATGACGGTACATAACGAACTGGCAACACAGGAGGTGCAGGTCCTTCTATGAATAAGGACCCCACAGAACAATCAATAAATAGATTGATCTTGATTTAGCTGCCATTAGTTTTGTGAGCATTCATGACGGTGAAATATTTACCCATTAAATAATTAAGGAATATGGGAGAGGCTCAATAGAAAGCCTCTCTGTGCAGACAGAAAAGGAAAAACTACAAAAACTTCTTCGACAATCGATGCCAACCAGACGCACATGCGAAGAGTGCGAAAGAGAAAACAAAATACATGTCGTGTGCATGCAGTTTTCCCAACAAAACATACCTGTAGAGCCACGCGATTGCTCATGAAGCTGGCGCCACAGGTCATCAATGAGGGAGTCAGCCACACCAGATAGCCCACTATCTGTACACATGGATTTCTGAGGGATGGCACCACCATGGCCAGATATATCACACCAGTCACGTCGAGAGAGGCAAACATCCAAGATAGCCAGGCAATGAAGCCATACACGAGACTGATCTCCACGTTGCACAGCAGGACCAAGCGATCGTGCATGTCCAGGCAGCCGCGAAGTCTCAGGACGTTCGCGGAGCCGAGCTTGGGATCCTGTATCTGTGAGATTATGAGGGAAATCTGCGACTGATTGGAGAGCAGGAGATGCCGCATCAGGTGGACCATGCAGCAGTAGGTGCCCATCGTGAAGCTGGTAACCAAATAGCGGATGGGGAATCCCAGGGCAGTGATCACGAACAGGCGCGTGGCATCCGACAGCCACTCAAGGACGCAGATCTTGACGAAGTTGTACAGGTAGAGCATATTGGAGATGATGATTATCCAGAGGAGACGTTTGGGTAGCTGGAACCGGAGATGTTGCAAGTGTTTCCTGCGATAGAACTCCAGCTTGCGAACGATGCGCAGATGGGGGGCCTGCAGCCAAATGAGCCAGGCATTCTGCACCAGAAGCATTCCCAGGGCCAAGAGCATCACCAGGCGATCAAAGTGATTCCCGGTCTGGGTCATTTCTTCCTTGAAGGCGTGATTCCAGTAGAGCACCATTATGGCGATGCAGCCGATGAGATACGTCTGCACGGCAAAGTGCACCACATAGCAGATGAGGCTGCGACGCAGCCAAAATCTCTGCTTTGAGAGGTTGTAGTCGATGCAGAAGATGCCCAAGTAGCGGCAGATCTTGTAATACACACAAAGTTCCCCAGACGGAGGGTCCTCCATGACGAAGGACGACTGACTAAAGACTGAACGTGGTCGAAGGAGTAGGCCGATGGATAGACCCTAACATTACCTAACATTACCCAAATTGTGTTTTCTTTGGACTGTTTTGATTTCCTGAAAGCCGCAAAGTCAATAGACTGTCAGTCAGGGAAGCGTAGCCCCCCAAGGACTCACCTGATTGGACAAATCGTTAATCATCAATGGGAGGATGAGGTAGACGAGCATTGGCGAGATCCAACAGACAATCCTTGCCAGCTCCTGCATCGAACGAAAGCCCTCCAAGGTGCTCACATAGGCTATCAAAACGCATTCCATGACTTGGTACAAAAAGAGGAACAGCAGCACGCCGCCGTACACTTGCACGAATTCCCCTTGGGACAGCATCAATATCTCATCGTGGAGCCGCAGACACCGAGCCAGGGCTCCTCGAGAGATGCCAGATGGATCCCCCAGGAGCACCTGCAGAAGTTCCCCCTGAACAGCTAGGAGTCTCTGCAGGACACACACCATGCTGCTGTACAAAGTGAACTGAAAATTGGCGCACAACAAACGCAAAGCAAAGGCCAGGAGAGTTAGGATATGGGAGAGCTTCATGCCGGAGAGCCAAATGTTGGAGCCAAATGACCCGATCATCATGGCGTACCAAAGGCACACCGCAACCCACAGGCGGTACACCCATCGAGGCTGTCCCAAGGCGAGAGTGCTCACTTTTAGAAGCCGCATCACCTTGGAGAGTCGACGCAGGAGAGTCACTTGGGCTTGTTGGTGCGCACGGAACCACAGATTGGCCAGGAGTTGGGTAACCGAAACAGTCAGTATCACCGCGTGATCGTAGATGTTTCCCGTCAACGAATTCGTTTGCATGTAGTTCACGGATTCAGCCAATGCTGACACAAAAGCAGACACAAATATCACTGCCACAACGAACTGCAGCCCGTAGGAAACGCAGGTGCCATGAAGCGTATATCTCTGTTGGTGTTGGGAGTAATCCAAGTTTGAGAGGCCCAGATAGCGTTGATAATGGAGGAACTTTAGCAGTTTCATTGTGCTTAATGCGTTAGTTCAACTGCAAGACTGAAAACACCATCCTGCAAGTCCTTAAACTGAAAATTCTACTCGAAAAGAGGCCATTCGCCAGCAATATCTTGTATTGCACATCAGTAAAGCAATTAGTTAATACATCTAGGATATGTGTTGGTATTTCTAATTAATTAAAGAGTTATTGTGGTGGTTTCTCTCTCTCTCTATTATGAAAGGATGGGGTAAGGTGTGCAGAGTGGACGCAAGAGTTCCTGGAGGACTCACCTGATTGCTCACATCGTTGACCATCAATGGCAGGATGAGATACAGGAGCATTGGCGACAGCCAACCGGACATCGTTAATGTCGTCCTAAGGTTAAGGGACCCCTTCAAAGTGCTGACATAAAATATCAAAACACATTGCATCACTTGATATAAAAAGAGGAACAGCAGGACGCCGCCGTAGACTTGCACAAACTCCCTTTGACCGAGCATCAGGATCTCATCGTGGACACGCAAACTTTTGGCCAATGCCTCCAAAGGAATGGGATGTGTGTCCACCAGATTCTGCAGTTCTTCCGCCTGGGCACGGAGCAGTCTCTGCAGGAGACACACCATGCCGCTGTAGCAAGTATATTGGAAATTGGCGGACATGACGCGTAGACCGAAGCCCAGGAGGGTCAAGGCATGGCTGAGCTTTGGCTTTGCTAGCCAAAAACTGGCCGCAAAACTACCCACCATGTAGCCATAGAAAAACCAAGTGCCGACCCACAGGCGGTACATCCGTCGGGGAGTGGAAAGGGCTACGGTATCCACCTGCAGATGCTCCTTAACTTTCGACAGTCGCTGGAGCAGTGCCACTTGGGTCTGCTGCTGCGAACGGAACCACAGATTGGCCAGAAGCTGCGTCACGGAGGCAGTCATCATCACTGCATTATCGAATATATTGCCCGTCATCGAGCCCGTGTTTATGTAGTACAGGGGTTCCGATAAAGCTGCCACCAGGGCGGAAAAGAACGTTCCTGCCACCAGGAACTGTGCGGCATAGGAATACCAGGTGGCATGCAGCCAATAGCCGCGCCCCGCCTCGGAGTAATCGAGGTCCGAGAGCCCCAAGTAGCGTTGGTAGTGCAGAAAGGTCAGCAGAAGCTTCTGCCCCATGGTGACGCGTGTTTTAGGCCTCAATTCGAGCGAAGGACTGAATACTTTTTCGTGGTATGAAGCCACGACAGGCCTGTTTCGAACATCATTAATATCACAAATATTGATTCCAATTCAATAATAACCAAGAGATTTCTATCAGCTACACCTTTGTGGCTTGGATTAATGAGATTTTCTTGGGCTTTTATCAGAGTATAGAGAACCATATCGACTGAAACCGAGTTCTAGTTGGATATCTATATGAGTTACTCAGTGTTTTGATTGCCAAATGAATTAAAACGCCATTTCCTGATAAGTAGTCTATCAGCTTAAGGCATTTCAAAGTTAATTTAACTTTTATCGCCAGGGCTTTAAATGGCGCAAACATTTGGTAAATCCCTAGACAAGCATTTCTATCATTTGAGGAAAGTATATGTGACATTTGAGCAATGGTTATAAGAGCAAGAACCTGTACAGCACTCACCTCTTCGTTCAATGGAGTCACAGATGCACAAACATTGAGTCACGACCTTGATGTGTCCAAAGGTGATGCAGCAGGAGAGTAAAGACAAAAACGACACTTAGATGGAGTTTAAACAGCAAAACGATCTCATCACGGACCTTTAGATGATGGGAGATGATTCTTCTGAGGTTATTTGTGTTTTGTTTGAGAAGTTCCTTTGTCAACTCCCGATTAAACCTCAAAATACAAATAATTCGATATACGAGTGCCAAATAGGGGATTCTAAGAAAGTTACAGATAACTTTATAGATGCAATACGTGCTCCATGTGGAGATTGGTAATCAAAAACTGAAGGTAGCCAGGAGATGGGCAGCCAAGAGGGAACATGTACCTCTGGAGAGACGTTGCACCTCAATTAGGTGGCTCATCTGAGTGTCCTGCATCCCCGTCCTCGAGAAGAACGGCAACAACAGAGTGGCTAGCCTCTGGCAGCTCCATGAAACCACTGAACTTTGATTCTACCAATCGGCAAACAAAATGGAATTGCAAACCCAGAATCTGCCAACGACCTCACAGAATCGATTGTCTATTCTTTGGACATTTATTGCTATTGCCACTGAGAGGTTTCGATAGACAGGAGATCTTTTGTGGGGCAATATATAGATAAACCCTTGATGTTGAACCCTGAAATTAATTTTAAAAAATAAAGGACGTTTTGCACTCACCTCCACCTGCAGTCGAATGCTCCATGCGGGCATTGCAGAGTAAAACATGGTGGGAAATATGCATAGCACAATTGCACCGCATGTCAACAGCTCAAACCACTCCAATGACAATATATAACCAAAGGAGGCTGTGCTCAGCACGATGTAGAGCATCTGCAAGGCCAGGGATCCACCAAAAATGTAGTTGATATCCGTTTCGCAGAGCAAATGGATCTCATCGATCGCGCAGAGACTGCGAGCTAGCTCCCTTTTATTGTTAGACCTTAAAGAACGCTCAATGCGACGACGGTGGGCCATTAGGATCTGTTCCATTCCAAAGATGATGGCCGTGAAGAAGGTGATTAGATAGTTGTAGTACGTGTGTCGCAGGATGAAGGTCCCATAAGGTACCAGACTGACTAATTCTAAGCCCGTAAGTGTGCAGGCATACAACAAACACGACAAGACGATGCCCACGCTGGAGATCAACCACAAGCGGAGGAGCCAGCGTGGGATGGTCACCACTTGATGGCACACTCTGGCCATTTCCTGGAGTCGATTTAGAAGCCGCACCTGGCGACCCTCATGCAGTCTCATCCACACGAGCAACCAAGATATAGACAGGGGCTCCAGGACCTCCAGAACATGGGCAAAGTGGTTGGCCACTCCCGTGTGGGTTGCCTCAAATTTGTGGTCCCAAAAGATGATGAAGACTCTGCAGGTGAACACAACGACGCCTTGCAGTAGCCAAAACTGGAAGAAAGTGCCCCAGTTGGGTCTCAGTTTGCAGCAGTTTCCATTCTGGTCTTCAGTGTCAACGGTTGTAAGGCCCAGGCGACGCTGATACTTCAGCAAGTCGTGCAACGCGTCCCGCATGTGTGTGTGGCAGGATGTCGCACATCAGACTGACGGAACGTCGACAGAAATTATTTATAAAATTAAAGTACACTGGCATATCTCCCAATATCTCTATTGAAACATCAGCTAATTAGTCTGCGGTCTCCTTCCTTTTTTTATCGTTATTTTGTAGAAGAGCGAATTGGACTTTCTGGAATGGTCACCGCTAAACGATAGGAACTTGATGCCCGACGACTGGACTACGGATACATTGTTCTCGGCCATAAATGTACCATTTCCCTTTCCGGACTCAAGAGAAATTGGTAAGACATTAGCCCAGAAATTTATGAATAAATTGTAGCAAATGTCTCATTCTTTCCAGCACGTGGAGCAGGCATTGCGGACTTTATTCAACCCAGTTTGGGGCCATTGCAACCGAATTTAGATGACATCGACATTACCTTCTCAGGTGAGTCGCTGGCTGTTTCTATAAGGAGTATATTTCATGGTTATCCCTTCATTCACTTAGATCTGCTACCCACCACACGCTTGCCACCCGTTCCGGAGGAGGGAACCGATGCGGAGATGCTCAAGAACGATGACTACTGCCTGCCAGCGATTGTGGGTGCACCGCATACCCTCTACTCCCACGTCAGCCTGATGGATGGCGGTGGTGGGGGCGGCGGCGGAGGCGGCGGCAATGTGGATGCCAATATGCTGGAGCTGAACACCCCCATCAATACGATGTCCTACAATGAGTTGGAGCACCGTTTCACGGCTTCACGACAGACGCAACAACAGTCGGCCAACGACTCTCAGTTGATGGGAGACACTTCTGGCTCCGTGTCGGGTCGGATGGTGCATGGTGGCAAGCACTTTGGAGTCCTCAACAGCAACAACGATGGCAGCAATCGGTGCGTGATCAATGGACGCGTGGCCAAGAGCACACAGCGTCCGTTCCGCAGAGAGCCGCACAACTATGACAAGGCTCAGCCGACGCTTCATCAGACTACAATCTATCAGCAGATGCTGGCCGAGCAGCAGAAGAACCAGCAGCATCTTGGTGCAGGCGTTGTGTTGCAGGCGGCCACATATCAGGCAGGGCAACAACAGCAGCAGCAACAACAACAACAACAGCAGCAGCAACAACAACATTTTCCTACGCAACAGCCAAACGCTTTCAACAATCAGAGTTTCCTGAGCAGCTACACGGACAACTACCAACAGCAGCCGCATCAGCAGCAGATCAGCGTGAAGGCGGAACCTCTGCAGACGGATGTGATGTCATTGCTGAACGATGGCGGCGGCGGCGGCGGCTACAACTCGATCGGCTACAAGCCCTATCCTCAGTTCAAGAAGTCCGCCTCGGCAGGGTCATTTCTCAATGTACCGCGACTGCCACAACAACAGCAGCAGCAGCAACAGGGATATCTGCAACAGGACCAGCAGCAGCAAATGCATCAGCAGCAGTCGCTTCCTTTGGGTCTGCAGCTTCTGCAGTTGACTCGCCAACAGCAAGTGAACAACAACCAACAGCAGCAGCAGCAGCAGCAATCCACTGTGGCAAGTTTGTTGCAACAACAGCACCAACAGCAGCAGCAGCAACAACAACAACAGCAACAACAACAGCAGCAACCTCCTGCTGTCAGCACCGCCACATGGGTGACTCCCAACACCGTCTTGCCCAAGGAGATCCATCGCTCCAATAGCCTGCCATTGAATGTGTCGCTAAACAAACTACACGATGCCCGCATCCAGCAGCTCACAGTCCACGAACAGCCCTTTGCCGTGCCCAAATATCACGCCAAGGGAAAGTCCCGTGTGCGCAGCAATTCGATGCACCAGCAGTCGGTGGTGGCTGCTGCCGGAGCAGGTAGCTC